CAGGTGGTGTGTCTCCTGTGCATCCATCTATACTATTATTATTATTTTTCCTCTCAAATTGACAATGCTTTGTCGTAATAATTGCCGCCGCCACCGGGCTAACAACATACCATATTTGTGGTACAGCTCGCAGCTAATAGAGCTCAAGGCGCGGTTCGATAAAAGGGTCTTTCTCGAGGTCTTCCCACAGGTAAAGTCGACGCCTGGGGAATGGGAAGGAAGTATGACGCAATACCAGTGTATATCTGGGTCATAGCCGATCCTATTGTCTTTGTCATCTCTGCCCGAGCCGACTCGTGATCTAGCGCACAGCTTATCGATTTCTTCGGGCTGACATTTTGTGAATTTTATCTGGAGTGTACTTCCCAAAGTAATGTTTGGCTTTGCCACCAACAGCCAACGCCACCAGTTTCTCTCGCTTGTCATCATCCACCTGTGGTGATTGGGGTACCAACAATTGTTCGAGCAATTCCTCACACTCCATCTTATAATATAACAAGTAAGATTTAGTTTTAACTATATAATACCCGATGCAGGCAAAACACAGGAAATGAAGGTTAAGTTGCACACCTACGAACACTTCAAATACCATAGCTATAACTAAATGCTAAGCATTATACTAAGCATTTGCTAAGCTTTGCTAAGCTTTGCTAAGCATTGCTAAGCATTGCTAGCATTTGCTAAGCTAAACACCCTATATGCTACTGGTTGGTCGGTCTTGAGCACGAGCTTAGCATGTTTAGTTTCAGCGAGCTGTTTCTTCACCCGCTCCTCGCTCTAATTTGCTCATCACATCGTTTCTCAAACACTCTCGAACGAATCCCTGTCCTTGCAGTGAAATAAGGCCACCCATCGCCTGCTCCCTGAGGTCTTTCAACACCGAAGTTGAACTTCTGCTAGTACCCAGACGCTGTGATTTGCGCGTCGGGCCGGAGAAGGCCAGGTACGATAGCATGTCTCTTTTTTGTTATCTCACGATTAGCTGCAGTCGCCCAGTATGAACAGTGTAGACTCCCCTTTAAATTTCTCGTGAAGAGCTTTCAACCAGTCCTGTAGGCGTGTTCCCCGGTCGACTTTGTGTACGTCCGGTCCGGCATCACCCAAGGTCTTTCCGTGTACGCTTTATTCATGCTCAGAGTAGGGCACATGATAACGATGTTATCAAACACATCCCTGTAGTACCCTCCAACATATCCAACACGAAAACGGTCTTCCCATTGCGCCCGTCTGCCCGCACACTATGGCGCAGTGTGGGTCGCGGGTAGCAATAGCTTGCTGGCAGGCAGTGATGGCTTCGCCGGGCAGGCAAATCAGTAGATGGCTTGCACGAAATCTCCCATTGTCTATATTAAGTTGCGCCATCCATAATAACGCATAGATATAATTTCAACTTACCAGCAGGTTGAGCCTTCTTGGTAATCTGGATAGTAATCCCCTCGCTGCCATTGTCTATGCGACGCCGCTACCGTAGTTTATCGCCATCCGTGGATCGCATGTCCAACCATAGGGCTACTTTGGTGGTCAGGTATTCACCGATCTTCACGGAGGATAGGTCCAGGTCTTTGGTTACGTGGTGGGAGTTTGCTCGGTAGCTTTTTATCTCATCCCACTGCTGGTATGGCCTCATACCATGACTGAACAGCTGGTTGGGCACGCGATGGTCACTTCCACCTTTTCAATCTCGGGTTGAAAACTTCTCGCTGTCCCTCGAACGGCTCGTAATCCTCCACGGGACGACACCAGGATGCCTTTCATCGATCGCTACCGCACGCTCAGGTTGATATTCCACACAGTGTCGCTTTATCTCGCACGACTGATCTATGCCTCAGTATGCGGTCGCATTGGATGGCCATCTTCCCAGAGTACTGGCTTCAACCTGCCTGGCCAGCTCTGGGCTAGTGACCATGTCGAACTCCAGAGAGATGTTGTCTATGGCGTAACTGGCCTCATCATCGCCGCTCGGGCGACGCACTACTTTGCTGTAGTCGCAAACGCTAGCTCGTATTTCAAGCCTATCACCCAGCTGCCTGGTAAAACGGGCGCTGCGTCCCGCGGAGCAACTCGGTCGAAGCGCACGCAGAACCGTTCCCGTGACGCTTTGAGCGATGGCCTTTTCACCGTCCGCGGATCTTGTCTAGCTGGTCTTGGCGCGAAGGCATACCCTATGCGCGACCTGGTTGATTTGCTGATACCCTGGTACACGCCATTGACACGCTCTCCTCGCTTCCAGAGATCCCCGTAGCAGTGAAACACGCCGCTGTCGCCGATGCTCAGCACCTCGCTACCGCTGATCTTGATGGTGGTTTTCTTGATGATGGCTCGACTTCCACGCTCCGCACTAGCTCACGCTTGTCGCTGGTGGAGGTCAACGGAGGTTGAACGCCAGTCGAACCGCGCCTGGTACAATGAGGTCATTCTCGCCAAGGTTTGGGGAATCTAACCAGCAGAGTTTGATTCTGGTCTATCTTGCTGGGATTGTTGGTGATGGTCACCGACTGGCGACGGCTCTGGCTTCCTAGAGGCTCTCTTTGATCTTCTGAAAGGATCTAGTTTTCTACCGCATACTGTTATATAAATGAAATATATTTTAATACTAAATAATGGCAGAGTACATACCTATGGATGATATGTGGGATGATAGTGCCCAGGCATTCGAGGATGACACCTCATTCACTACCCCTTAAGTACTGAACTTATACAGCCAGCTGTCAACGATTATTACAACGCAGTTGAAAATAGAGACAACATCAAGCCGCTGGGAAGGGACTATTCCAAGTTTACAGTCGATAAGAAGGGCACGCCATGCATTGAAGGCTCACCCGGGATCGATCTCATAATAAGCGACGGAAGCCGCTGTTTTGTCAACACTCACCAGTCGCCATGGGGTCAGCTGATCCGCGATGAACTAGGCTTCATAGATTACGGCGGCGCTACGCCAAAGCTTCCCCGGGTCGCCCAAGATCTGCAAGCAGCCAGGGCCAATACTGGGGATGCTAAAGAAACGCCGGACAGTATCGAAATATTGACCACGCACTCATGACAAACTCCTTGCCGGTCTCGAATTTCCCCTGAGGGAACTGGCGAGGCCTAGACGAAGCCTTGAAACATGTACGCCGAGAACTCGTGGAACAACATGGGGAAACTTAATGAAATCGATGAGCACATCGCCATGAAAATAAAACTCACCGGGCGATGGTGATATGAAACGTCAGATCGAGGAGAGAATAAAAACTTGAAGACGAGAGACGGACTCGTTGGAATCCGCCTCTCTAACCGGAAGCCCCCCGATCACAGATCAGTAGAGTACGGAAACCATCGATCGAGTCCTAAATGAAGACACCACGCTTAGCTGACAGGATTCGATCCTGTTCCGAGCAAGGCATCACCATCGCCAGCATTCTGACTGCATTGGGCTTCATCATATCAACCCTGGTGGTGTCATTGACAGGGTAGCCCCACGCCGCCGGGCGGCGGTGGGGTACCCCCACTTCCTGCACCCACAGGTGGTGTCAAAGAGTGGATAAAAACTCGGGAGGCCCTGGCTAAACTGGCTGGTAAGGCTGCCGGGCCCTACCCGCATCCTGGGTAGCATCGCCTCGTGGCTGCTGGGTGCTCTGGCTAAAACTGCCACGCGGGCTTAGTCAAAACCTGTGGGCAGCCATTGTCGCCATGGTGGGTTTGGTGTACGAAGCGCTAAGAAATTTTAACCAAATAAGCCCCAAAGCTACCCCACCAACCACCAGGGCTGTTTTACGATCGATGTGCTGCTGATTGAGGCTGCAGGTGTGGGGCCACCCCCACAGGGGGCTTGGTTGAACCCTAGGCCCGGGTGGCGCCACTATACCCGCTTTCACCGGGTCGTGGGTGGTGGGACGGGGACGCTTGACATCGAGGTTGACGCCAACTTTTATCCCGCCGCGGGCTACAACTATTTCGTTGTTGTAGCCCACCACTTTTTTACTCTCAGTTGCATATCACTCGAGCCATGTACAACCCCACGCCGAACACGAGTCGACTTTCGACCTGGCATATTCCAACACGCCTTGGTAGCGCTTTGATGGCACTCGAGATCAACTGGAGCATTGATAGCATCCTCACGCTGACAACTTAACTGTTTCTGAGCCGCCGTAGCAGTCCCCTTTACCGATAATACTGGAACGCTGCTTATGCCTGGCGCACCCCAACACCGCCCACACGCGACGCTCAATCGAAGTCGCTTAAGCCGCTCAGTGCCGCACGAGTAAACCCTTTCGACGCGTCCAACATAAACTTTTTCCAGTCATCCGCTGCCCTCCCTGATCAAACCTCCAGACTCTGTAATTTTGTTGGCATTGAAAGCCATGTAACGGTCATCCCACTCGTTGGTTGTGAAGAGATGATACGACTTGTATCCCCAATCTTTCACCAGCAGTTTGCTGGCTTCCACAAGGGGCATTTGGTGAACGATGGGGATACCCAACCCGTGGTTCGCCCCGCAAACGCCAATCCGCCTTCGGTTTAGTTCGATTGCTGTAAATACGTTCAGAGGCTCGCCTATCGCACTTGTTGTTTAATGGGTTCCATGCATTGTCCTGTGGGAGCGGGACGCTGATTTCTTTAAGGATACGCCTGACCTGGTAGTACACGCGGAACTTGAACACAGACTGACTCAGCGTCCACGCCGAAAGTCGTCGGTCAATGTCACACCACACCCCGCTAGAAGCACCACACGGCGGTTGAGTTGATTCTGCCAGAACTGCATCGGGTTGTTGAACCAAGCATGAACTACCTTAGCGCTAGTCACCGAAAATTTATACAGGCTGAACACATCTAAAAGCTGGGCTGAAATACATCCCATCAGCAACCGCGATCTTCATGGGTGAGAAATCTATGTCCAGTTTAGGGTAAAACACTCCAGGGGAGTAAGACACTCCTTTGCGAGGATGCTCCTCCTTGGGAATACATTTTAAAACTATTATATAATGAGCATATATACTCTAACATGTACATAACACTTCCAGGAATAACGAGCGGTGAGGCAGTTCAGCTGACGACGCGATCGATAATAATACGTCCGTCAACTCGAAGTCGCGACTCTGCGATATCACCTACCTACCGCGAATGGACTAACATCAACGCCAGCAACAATAAGCTGTTCGTTAGTGGAACTCGCAGCCAGATAACTGACGGCTACTACAGCGCAGTGCTCGCTAAGCCGATGAGGTCTTCAAACCCCTGGGAGCCGAACTCAAGATGAACGACTCAAACGGCACAGTGGTGTTAATCAACAACGGAAGAAACTCCTTGAGGCTCGGCCCGCCATTGGCGAAGACACTCGGTATGTCACCTGACGAGATAAAACCAACAACAACCGCCACAGGCATCGGTTACCCGACCTAGTACCGCATCGAGCTGTACATTCATCTAGGTCAGGTGAGCACAACGCATAACATTCAAGGGGTCACCCTTCCACTATACTGAGAGCCGTGCCGGTGAAAACGGAGAAATACAACGACGGTAGAACCGAAGTCGCTTTCACCGCTGCAGTATAAGAGGTTGACTCAGGGCAACATACCTGAGCTGATAATATCGGTGTTAGATATAAATCATAATCCCGTGAATATAGGATACCTCAGCTTAACGCTTCACATAAAATGACCAGCGCACAAGGGCCCGGGTGAAAAAATGCGCCAATGTGGGGATCTCCGACTGGGACACACGCTGCTTCGACGCCCCGAGTAGATGGTAAATTGTACGCCTTTGCAACTGAAAACAACATTTACAAACGCTGCTGAAGTCCTCCGTGGGAGCCCTAGGTGATATAGTAGATACCTCAAGAGCGGTAGTCAACACTAAGTACACCCTAGTCACCACCGGTAATGATAATTGATAATATACCCATCGCTCGGGGCAAACTGTTCGACTTAGACGATGTTGAGAGCACTACCGTCGCCCAAACAAAGCCATATATGCTCGCCTTCACCGAAGATGACAAGTGGGTGTTGATACCAGATAAAGACGACTGGTTTCTCAATATTAGGCTCGGCTCCCCTACGTGTTCACGGATAACAAAGACAACCACCTAAACAAAGTCGCTAACAACGGAACCCTGCTCGTGGCTTACGCCCCGACTCAGAGACGAAGCGTGAGTCATCAGCCCAGTCGCCAGTATGGCAGCCCACATGCTATCGAGTAAAGCGGGCATGCAAAACGTGACATTGCAGTTGGTGTCTGAATTTGAAGGCGTGGTCAGGATACTAGAGAGTCTACCGCTTAACTCAACACTGATCATCAAAGTCTACCTAGGGGAACCATCGGGAATGATGTCGAGATCGTGAAGGGGATCAAACTTGGGTGGGTGAAACGACACCAGTATCACGCTTGCACAGTTTACGTATGGGTGGGTGTCGGCTCCAACACCAGTCTGCAGGGTGTCACCGCGATCGTGGAAAACACTATATCACTAACCAAGATCTTCCTACCTGACAACATACACTTCATGGGGTGAAGTTAACCCCTGAACTATTATCAGAAAACCAGTTGGAAATTATATCGTAATAGTATTATAGCAATGACCAGTCATCACCCCAACACCACGCTTTAACCACCTAGGGGACACGGAGGGATTCGATCAGCCTGGTGAGGAAGACACCTCGTACGTCCTACACTTGAAAGACAATGTGTATAGGCGGGCAGCAATAGCCGATCATCTACCCAAACTCACACTCAAGGACCTAGAGGGATTCGATCAGCCTGAGGAAGACACCTTATACATCCTACACTTCAAAGACAAAGTGTATAGGCAGATACCGCTATCAGATTTTAAAGAACCCGAATGGCTAATCAACTTAACCCTCACCTCACCTTATATCACATACAATGAACATAATGATATCTCTGAAGTTAAGAATAGCGTACCCAGCCCGGTGTTTCATTCCGCCCCTAATACAACGATTTCACTAAGATTGAACCCCAATAGGTTATTTGCATTCCACGGGGGTGAGTTAAGGTATGACTGCTACGGGCACAAAGGATTCCATCTATGTTACCAGGCTCCACACTCATCATAGACGTCTCCATAGGGAATATTGCCCTGCAGAACAACAACTTTTACCCGGGTGACTGTACACTGGAGTTCCCAGGCCAGGGTGAAGACGCTGTCCGATCATCATACAACCGACCTCTCAACGGGTCGCGGCAATCCCTTTAATAAGCCCCTACTATGGGTGGATAATAAGCCCCTACTTTGAGGGGTTTCATGTGGATGCAGAATTACCTATTACATTCTCACCTATTCTCCTACATAAGGATTTACACCTTATAAGCCTCAAGCACGCTCGTCGAAGGTTAAATGAAACCCAATTAAAATATCTTTTGAAATATATATTATAGGATGGGGCTATACCCAGTCGTAGAGGAAGTAGCGAAGACCCTGGAAACCGTGAGACGGTTCCGCTTTGAGGCAGTTATGTGATGTGAAACGCCAACTAGAGCAAGACCGCATGACACGAAAAGCACTATGTAAAAAGTACCATAGAGCTTTCAATATCGTGGACGGGCTGACGCTGCCCTTATGGCAACCAGCATGGGGCTGGGAGCGCAGGTGTTGGGTTGTTAGCTACCATCGTGGCTGCACCTATAGTACTAGGTATTGAAATAACAGCTGGGGTGGCAGGGGTGTTAGGGTTGGTGCTTAAGTTGGCATCACGTAGACTGCATCGTAAGGCATTGAAACACGATGAGATCAGGGTTCTGGCAGAAGCAAAGCTGAACACAGTAAGTGAGCGTATTTCCACTGCACTCACTGACAGTAAGATCTCAGAGGAGGAGTTTAGTTCAATCCTCTCTGAACTCACAAAATATAACAAAATGAAACAAGAGATTCGGTCCAAGTCTCGTAAGTCTGCTATCAGCGAGGATGATAAAAAAAGTACATAGAACAAGGTGTGAAAAAGCCCGCAAGCCTTTATTACAAACACCAAAGAGATCATAGGCGATTCACATTAAACTGTTTCATCGAGGTAAACATGGCATAGTTAGACGCAGCCCAGTATTGATGGGGCAATACCCGCACTTCCCCATGCCCCAGCCATAGCCCCGGTAGCTAGGAGGTGCTCTCGCATCCCCAACTTTTGTAGTAGGGGTAATGGCAGCAAGAGCTATATCCCACCAAAGCCTTACTTGTGAAATAAGGCTTTGCAGAGGCTTTGGTTGAAAGTGATCCAGAACCGCCATCGGCCCAAACTTTTCATAGTAGGGAAATGGTAGCAAGAGCTAAGGGTTCGACAAAAGCCTTATTTACCAAATAAGGCTTTGCAGAGGCTTTGTTGAAAGTGATCCAGAACCCCATTGCCTATACTTCGGTTCAAGGTGACTTGCAGAGCCCTAAGGTAGAAACAAACTGATACAAAGTTTTGCGATTCGATTAAGACATAAAATATTTTGCTTCTGTATTATATACTGTGTAAGTTGTGTTTGAGGAATAGAAACGTTTGCACCCACATACCTGAGTAAATGACCCGTGAATGTCCGGGTTAGAATTGGTCTTCAGCAACCCATGCTTGTCGTAAGAGGCGACTAACGGGATCGGGTGGTCAGACTCGCTGACTTGGTTGACACATGTCATCGAATCCCATTTGCGCAGATCGATCTCAAGCTGTTGATCACTGGATTGTCTTGGTCCAGACTCGATTATTTACAGACCGCCGCCATATAGCTGGAATATTGCTGAGTGCGGCGTAACATTAAACTCACTCACTCACAACTTGAGTAAACACACAATGCTGGCCCGCCCGACTACCTGGGGACAAGGAACTGCGGGACTTCTTTAATGAAACCTGACCCGCAGATCAGTTTGGGAGTCAGACTAATGTATGATTGCAGATATTCCGACTTTTTAAAGGTGTAATTTGGCAGCAAATGGCGTTGTATTAAATATGTTATCCTACTAGAAAATTTTGCGTTTCCTTGTTGGGAAAGTAAGTGCGCAAGTTTATTCCTGTCAACATAGAACATGTGATCAGCTCTCATTATTGTCTGAAGAATTACAACACACAAGTCTTTATTGTCCTAGATACAGCGAGTGAGTTTAGTTTTACGCCGCTTTTAGCAATATTCCATCAATATCAGGCGGGGGACACCAGAAATGGGCTTCACACTTTGTACCCATGTAGGGAATCAAACCCGGGTTTTCGTGTGACGAGCGAACGCTTTAACCACAAGTCTACCCCACCTTAGATACTGTGTGTGTTGTGTTGCTGGAGGGGTGTCTCAGTGAAGGGGTTGATTTCCGTTAGTTTCAGGTAACTTCACTTCAAATTGGTGTTGTGTGGTCATGTGCAAAGAGCTCCGGTCACAATCAGTTGAACTTAAGCAACTTTGGGCGCGGAGAGTCCTTGGATGGGTGACCCTGTTTGGGAGCTTGACTTTGTTGCCCCAAGACAAAGCACATATGATACATGTGGTCTCACCTTAGGCAAGTGAGTTTGTTCAAAATTGCCTCTGTCCACCCAGCAGTAAATAGCCGAAAGAGCAAATCCACTTTTGGTATCAAATGGATCTCCTGCAGTTTGTTTATGGTTATAAGTGACCTGTTTACAGGCGTTATGTGTACTCCCGGTATATTTGCTTGCTCTGGGTTCACAAGTTCAGTTGCAATAGCGTGATAGCGTAGCAGTATAATGTATACTGCCACTAAGTATAGAACTACCTTGCTTGCTGTGGATTCACACGATCGGTTGCGACAGTATGAGAGAAGGTGCTTTGTAATTTTTGTATATGCTGTTGAAATTAGATTACTGGAAACGTTTGTTTTGTTGTTTGAGATAGACTTACGTGTTAATCCATATAATGTGAATCACAGTGAACACTTCTCATCATTTGGTTGTAGTCACTTTTAGCTTGATAACGGTGTAAGAATCTACATCGAAACGCCGCTCAATACAATAAACAAAAATTTGCCATCCATAAAGTTGTATGTTTCATGTTTTGACTCATCAACTTCTAGAATGCCGATAAAACAACTTGCACCTTTTTTAGTTAAAAATATTCGATTTTTCTGAGCATAAATTTGTCAAAACTGGTAGTGATGTCATCAATTCAGTTAAAACAAATAGATAATGTGCTGTTAAATGTACAAGCATTTTTCTTGTTTCTATGAAGTTCTAATAAAATCAGCATCTGTTTCTAAAGCCAGAAGTGTCATAATCCAAACCATACTACACAATCCTTTGTATCTAACCCTGGACAATAAGAATTCACGCATTTCCCATTAGTGGCAGAGATATGATCCCTATTAATTGTAGTCATTATTACTTTCGACACTATAAGACAGGTACAAGTGTCTAGATTGAATTAAAGCCAAGGAGCCTGACATTGCTGCTCGCAACTATATTTACTATAATTATTATTACCAAACTATTTGGACCCATCAGAGGTCTGAGGGGAGAAAATCCACCTAAGTATCGATGTGACAGCGAGATTGCAATTGTTTCAACAATGCAAAAAGACGACAATGATTATTCGGTAGTCTTGAGGTCATCATCATTGGGACTATGTGAGCCTTCAAGAGTACTCCCAGTCTCCAATGGTTGCTACTTTAAGGGTTAATGTTCAGTATAGTATATTAGATTTTTCGTTTCAATTTCAAGACAAGGTTTTTTTAAAGCAGGTTTGTAATGAAGAACGTTGTCTTTCCCACCAAAAGTCACCCACTGTGACTGTAACCTGACAACACATCATCAATACAGGAAATAATTATTTTATTGACCAATATTCATATCACAGCTTTGTAACATTTTCATATATGTACAATAAGTTACTATTCACAACTTGAAAATATACAATGTCTGACAGTTTCATTTCTACATACAAACACAGAGAGTGAATGGTGGCCAGTTTGGAACATCATTGAATAACAAAAGGTTGTAAATGTTATCAAGTACTAGTATTAACATGAAACTCAAACAAAAAACATAACATATATTAAACCAGAATGCCTTTCTCAGTATTGAATGAGAGCTTTAACCTTTGGCTTTGACAGATGATGGATTATCTTATGTGTTGACTGTGTTGACAACCAAAGAAATTATTACTTAAAATGTAGGACATCTTAAATCATGATTAAAACATGAGCCTGAGTTGTTTTACATGAAATATTACAGTATTTACAATGAATAATTCTCAAACAGCAATCACATGATTTAACCTAGCAGTCCACTGAGTTACAACACTTGGCTTGTAGTCACATGGTCAAGGGTAACAAAAGTTGACTGCCAAACCACTGGCCATATGTATGAAGATCTTAGATTCCAGCATGCCTATAAGGCTTGATGTTTATGAGGTTGGGGCAGAGTTGCCATCATACATAGAGAAGCCTAGAATCTCCTTGGAGAACATCTCCCCGGTGACTGTGTAGGGGAGGTTCTGGTCGATGAGGTCCCCCGCCGCGGTGGCGTCAAAGTTCTGCAGCTCACACTTGCCGCCCTCGGGGTTGAAGCCCATCAGGGTGGTGAGGTACTCCGCGAGCTCGTACTCTGTCATGTGTTCACCTGCAACACAATAAGGAAAGTATGAACATTGCGCACTACCAAGGTCTGGTCAGCAGGGAGGCATAGTCTGGTCAGTGGCTACAAGAAGACCATCAACAGCTGGTCAGTGGGTGACTATAGGTACCAGGTACTGGTAACCTAGTACACACACGGTGTCAAGAATTGGAGGGCAAAACCAGGGTAAATTAAGTGGTCGATATTCAGATAAATGTCAGTGATGCAAAGGACCAAAAGTGAGGTTAACCAGGGTGGAAAGTACTGGTCAGTAAGTAATGTTGAGTACACCCAGGGTGTCAAGTACTGGCGAGTACACCCAGGTTGACAAGTACTGTTGAGTACACCCAGGGTGTCAAGTACTGGCGAGTACACCCAGGGTGTCAAGGACTGGTGGGTACACCCAGGTGTCAAGTACTGGTGAGTACACCCAGGGTGTCAAGTACTGGTGGGTACACCCAGGGTGTCAAGTAAGTACAAGTACACCCAGGGTGTCAAGTACTGGGGAGTGCACACAGGATGTCAAGTACTGGGGAGTACACCCAGGGTGTCAAGTACTGGGGAGTACACCCAGGGGTGTCAAGTACTGGGGAGTACACCCAGGGTGTCAAGTACTGGGGAGTACACCCAGGGTGTCAAGGAGTACTGGGGACTTGAGTACACACAGGGTGTCAAGTATTGGTGAGTACACTGGTGAGTACACTCAGGTTGTCAAGTACTGGTGAGTGTCAAGTAGTACACCCGGGTTGTACACCCAGGGTGTCAAGTACTGGGGAGTACACCCAGGGTGTCAAGTACTGGGGGAGTTCACCCATCCAGGTACACACCAGGGTGTCAAGTACTGGGGAGTACACCCAGGGTGTCAAGTACTGGGGGAGTACACCACTCAAGGGTGTCAAGTACTGGGGAGTACACACAGGGTGTCAAGTACTGGTGAGTACACCCAGGGTGTCAAGTACTGGGGAGTACACCCAGGGTGTCAAGTACTGGCGAGTACACCCAGGGTGTCAAGTACTGGGGAGTACACTCAGGGTGTCAAGTGCTGGTGAGTACACCCGGGTTGTCATGTACTGGTGAGTACACCCAGGTTGTCAAGTACTGGCAAGTACACCCAGGGTGTCAAGTACTGGGGAGTACACCCAGGGTGTCAAGTACTGGTGAGTACACCCAGGTTGTCAAGTACTGGCGAGTACACCCAGGGTGTCAAGTACTGGTGAGTACACCCAGGGTGTCAAGTACTGGGGAGTACACCCAGGGTGTCAAGTACTGGTGAGTACACTCAGGGTGTCAAGTACTGGGGAGTACACCCAGGGTGTCAAGTACTGGTGAGTACACCCAGGGTGTCAAGTACTGGGGAGTACACCCAGGGTGTCAAGTACTGGTGAGTACACCCAGGGTGTCAAGTACTGGGGAGTACACCCATGGGTGTCAAGTACTGGCAAGTACACCCAGGGTGTCAAGTACTGGGGAGTACACCCAGGGTGTCAAGTACTGGTGAGTACACCCAGGGTGTCAAGTACTGGGGAGTACACCCAGGGTGTCAAGTACTGGGGAGTACACCCAGGGTGTCAAGTACTGGTGAGTACACTCAAGGTGCCAAGGCCTGGGAGAACAGAGAGGTGAAGATACACGGTCAAGCACTAGTCAGTGGCAACTGTCCATACCTTTGCTCTGCAGTATCTCCAGTAGTTCTCCCCTCTCTACAGCTGGACCCTGGTCAGTCGGTATCCCCAGGGTGTCAAATGCCCATAGAATCTTCTCCGGGGACAGGCCAAATGCTGGTCGGTGATTCACATACACTGAAACAAACAACCCATACAATCACACAACATGTCTACACATACAGTATCTATACATGCCATATACCTCAATGTTAAATACCTATACATTCCCAGTCTACTTATACCACATCTTCATATTCCCTGTCTGCATATACTCAACTTACACATGCCATGCCTACATATGCCTTATCATTAAATGCCTACTCATACCATACCACATGTACAATGTCTACACATACAGTATCTATACATGCCATATAAATGCCTATACATTCCCAGTCTACTTATACCACATCTTCATATTCCCTGTCTGCATATACTCAACTTACACATGCCATGCCTACATATGCCTTATCATTAAATGCCTACTCATACCATACCACATGTACCATTCTGACACATAACCATGATTACACGTAACATGAAATACATCATGTTATGTGTACAAGTCCAGATTTTTGCAGGAATCGATCCTTTAAAAGACACATTTCAGGAGCTTAATTTCATTTCCTCAGATTATTTAAATGCCTTGCAAGGGGTGATCTCAACTATGTCACATGCAAGCATTAAATCTCTCAATGCACATGCAGTAATATTTCGACAAAACTGTGGCACAAGAATAGGCTTCAGATATTGTTTTCTTGGGGGGGATCCTTGACCTTCAACACGCGCCTGACTGCTGTCCCCGACCTACAGAGTGCATTTGTACCTTGAGTTCTACTGATTTGTAATAACAAATTCTTGCAGTATGTCATAAGTTACGCCCATGACAGGGCTTCTTATAATGTATACACTGCAAGTGAAGAGACTGGGGAATTAATTTGTTTGTGGAAAGTAAAGGGAAATAATTACATGGCATTGTCTCCCCTGATTGTTTTAGGGTGAGTCTCGGAGAACACTAACTACAGACATCCCCTCCTTTCATGGTCAGCTTGTCATAACTAACGTAATTGTACTCACACTTGATGAAGTCTCCAAGGTCAATGTCGCTGACATACTGTCCTGTCTCCACGTACTTGCCGAACTTCACCTCATTCAACATGTCCTCAATCTGCCAACACATTAGGAATTCAGTACATGTCAAGAACTTGGAACAGTCCATGTGTAACAGATCACAGTGTCAGAATCTCATAACCAGTACAGACAGTCATGTAATCTTAATTAACTTTGATTTACAGGACATCAACACAGAATGTACGTCTAATAATAAATCAAATCAACAAGTGTAGTTTCCTTCGTGTCTAAACGTCACAGTACAGGATCAGGAAGAAGCTCTTGTGTTTACATCAAAATAACATTTCAGTTATAGTCCTTTTCTATTTCTCTTGACTACCAACTGGAACTGATTAAGAAGACCAAGTGTGTACTGCTACTGCCGTATGCTGACCTCCTGCTCTGAGGGGTAGAAGCCCATGGCCCGCATCACAAAGGGCACCTCCGACAGCGGGATCTTGATGGACACTTGCCTTGTCTCCATGGTGTTCACACTTTGACTGAAGAGGAAGTAATCCACAAGTTAGAGACGTTGCATTTGACCACAGATAGAGGACCATTTCAAGTATTTTCAGGACTATATTTTACTTTTAGCCCCTGGCCTCAGAATATAAACAAGTCAGTCTCTTTCCACAAACCAGGCATCCTATAGGCATGACAACCATGTGATCAAACTGTTGGCATCCTATAGGCATGACAACCATGTGATCAAACTGTTGGCATCCTATAGGCATGACAACCATGTGATCAAACTGTTGGCATCCTATAGGCACGACAACCATGTGATCAAACTGTTGGCATCCTATAGGCATGACAACCATGTGATCAAACTGTTGGCATCCTTGATCACCAAGATTGTCCTATCTAGTTCCCACTGGGATAGCTACCTCCAATTCACTCCTATAATCATAATCTTGAGCATAACTCGAAAAGCATGATGCAAAAATATCTGTCCAATAAAACTACTCTTATAAGTGAGAGAAATTCTTTTGAATGCCACTCAAAGATGTTGTGAGAGAAATTCTGTGTAGAACTACACAAAGAGAATCAAGCTATTCCTGATATCTTCTCTAAAATATACACATAATGATGAAATACATTCTTGATTGTTGTAGCAATAGTTAGACTGAAAACTTATGTATATTCTAACAGAAACATTTTGAGCAAGAAGACTTAAGTCTACAAGTAAACGTTCAGTGATGCATCATGATGTCAGCCGAGACAAGCTTTGGCTCAGTTGAACTCACAGGTGTGACTGTAAATCTAGACCAGAAGTGTGAGGCACTTACCTCCTGATCTGTGCGTAGTAGAAGTAGTCCTCTAATTCCGCAAACAGGTCGCCGTCACGGCCGCCCTCCAGTAAACCATAGAAGGGGATCAAGTCCTCTCCTCCCAGCTGAGCCTGGCCCTCGAGAGCGCTGTGGATGAAACATTGTTTAACATGATTCTGTTGACTTCAGTCACTACACCACTGCCTCAGTCGTGTAGTGGTTAGAGCGTCCGCCCGGAGAATGGTAGGTCGTGAGTTCAATCCCCAGCTGCATCATACCAAAAGACATTAAAATATGGAACTTGTTGGTCCCTGTCTGGCGCTCGGCATTAATGGGTACAACGACTCGTCGGTTCGGAGTATCATGTATCTCAGTGGGGTATTCATGCTTAACTGCAACATGGTATCTCAGTGAGCTAGCACTATAAAACCGGCTTAAGTCTGGGCTAGTACACAATGGTGAACACAGTCACCCATTTATCTGCACTACGCAACTAACTGTTTAACACTACCTGTTTTCTGACCTAAATGCTGTACATAGGACCATGTAACATCTCACAACTGACAAACTCTTGTTTTGTACTGAGGGAGTGAATATGTCACTCATAGCTTGTTATGGGGCGAGTCAATCTTCAAGAGTGTTGACGTCAGTAACTCTGGTGTGATGGAACTTCAGGAATCTGTATCTCACTGATGCTAACCATCAAAGTTCGTAACAAGTTTATGCTGACGATGTGTTTGTGACTGACTCACCTGATGTTCACCTCCCACATGTGTACGGCGGCGTCCGCTCCACCAGCGGTGAACAAGTAGCGACCGTCACTACTGCATGTCAGGTTGGCGATCTGTAACAATGTAACCATATGTGCTACAGCTGGAGACACAAACTTGAACTACTCAAGACTCAAGATCCTGACCAGAAAACCTGTCTTGGACCTGTTCTCCAGAAACAGTGATACTACAGGTAAATCAAAAACTGATCAACTGCCAATGGTTCAGTGATTAGAATTTGTTGCTGTGGTAAAAGTAACAAGCAGCTAAGTCGTGCAGTGGCAGGAAACTCTACTGATGTGAGGACACTACAACAGCTTACCCCGCTAGGATGAGCCACCAGCGCCATGCTGTTGTGTGGGTTACCGGTCAAGGGGAGAATACTCATGCCAACTTTGTCCTCTGTCGTGTACGCCACGTAACGTTTATCTTTGACTTCATCTTTGGTTGGAATCACTCGTATCCTGAAACATGGCACAAGTTTCCATGGTTACCACAGCACGGACTCTGTACATCATGATCAGCTAGAAGTCACATGACTTGTTAATAATCACATTTCTTTTTATATTTTTATGTTTTAGTATATCTTTCGCCAACTAGTTTGAGTAACTAGATGTAACAGCAGAACAATCTTTCACATAACAGCAGGTAAAAAAAATTCAGTGAAGAGTTATAGTTCTATGACAGGTCAAAGGTGAAAGTATGAAGGCCTTTGAGATGAATTCAGTGAAGGGTTATAGTGCAAAGTTCAATGGTAGGTCAAAGGTGAAGGCATAAAGGTCTTACTTTGTGACGGGAGTGCCATATGTTGGCCCTAGAAGCGTCTTCCTACACATCTTGGTGGTGGTGTTGTACAACTTGAATTTGTACTGAAACAAATGGATTTGAATGTTGTGAACTTATCCCAGTAACGGTGAGGGGGTCGTTGTCAGCACAGATACTACAGAACTGTGCCCCAGGTACGTTTCAGTGTACAGAAAAGTTCCCTAAACAAAGTCAAAATACTAAAATGTACCCAGTACCCTCCAAAACCATCCAAAACCACATGTTTCCATCATTTCAATACCTACAGCCTGCCTCAGAATTTTATCATCGAAAGATTAAATATCACAAGACATAAACAATGATATAAAAACCAAAAAAGAAACAGTTTCACAAGCGGCATCTTACTATTCAGCAACTGCAGCAGACATACCTGATCGTCAGCTGTAACAATGAAATGTTCTTTTGTGATTGGTGGATACCAAGCCATACACAAGGGGACAGCACTCTGCTCAATCCGGTCGGTGCTGGACAACTTTATGTTGTCACGGTAACTATTCTCAAGGTCATACTCTACCTGCACGGGAAACAAATCGAAATCAAACAACTGTGTCTAAAGCGTTCAAGATAGTGAAATGTTTAAAGTAAATCTGTTTCAAATTTGGATTTGTTTTCTTCTTAAATATCCAGGTTTGATTCCCCACATCGGTACAATGTGTGAAGCCCATTTCTAGTGTTCCCCGCCGTGGTATTGTTGGAATATTGCAAAAAGTGGCGTAAAACTAAACTCACTCACTCACTCTTCTTAAATACAACAACAAAGCCATTATTACTAGTCAACCAATATCAGACAAACTTTTATGGCTGAAACCAACTTTTCAACTGTACAAATCTACATTTAGGCTTAAAATGGCTTAAAATGTTCAATCAATACACCTACTATAATTATCAGCTTGAAATACTAGTTAGTATATTTGATAGTTAAGCATTTCTTCATATTTTAAAGCATTGCAGAATTTCTGACATCTGCAAAGGAAATTCAATAATAGGTGTTGACTAGTATATTCCAGGGGATTTATAGAAAACTAGCATATTCTAGTTGATACAGAAATAATGGTATATTAGACTTACCATGACCCTGTCCTCCCCAAGGGAGAGCAGCCTGGGGGCGGTGGAGTCAAGCTGCACTCCGAACATGATGTCCCTGATGGGCTTGTAGTGAGCTCGGTGTCGTCCCATGTAGGTGTAGGGGCTGCCAGTCCCCCGGCCCTCCTTCTTGTACCTCCTTCTTGTACACAGAGACTGAGTCTGTCACTGTGTACTCTGCATCCTACAACAGAGACTGAGACTGTGACACAGGAATTATACACTGTCACTGTGTACTCTGCATCCTACAACAGAGACTGAGACTGTGACACAGGAATTATACACTGTCACTGTGTACTCTGCATCCTACAACAGAGACTGAGACTGTGACACAGGAATTATACACTGTCACTGTGTACTCTGCATCCTACAACAGAGACTGAGACTGTGACATCCTACAACAGAGACAGGAATTATACACTGTCACTGTGTACTCTGCATCCTACAACAGAGACTGAGACTGTGACACAGGAATTATACACTGTCACTGTGACACAGGAATTACTCTGCATCCTACAACAGAGACTGAGACTGTGACACAGGAATTATACACTGTCACTGTGTACTCTGCATCCTACAACAGAGACTGAGTCTGTGACACAGGAATTATACACTGTCACTGTGTACTCTGCATCCTACAACAGAGACTGAGACTGTGACACAGGAATTATACACTGTCACTGTGTACTCTGCATCCTACAACAGAGACTGAGACTGTGACTCTGTCACTGTGTACCTGCATCACAACAGAGACTGAGACTGTGACACAGGAATTGTACACTGTGACTGTGTACTCTGCATCCTACAACAGAGACTGAGACTGTGACACAGGAATTCACTGTGTACATCTGTCACAGTGTACTCTGCATCCTACAACAGAGACAGAGTCTGTGACACAGGAATTATACACTGTCACTGTGTACTCTGCATCCTACAACAGAGACAGACTGTGACACAGGAATTATACTGTCACTGTCACAACAGTGTACTCTGCATCCTACAACAGAGACTGAGACTGTGACACAGGAATTATACACTGAGACTGTGACACAGGAATATACACTGTCACTGTGTACATCCTACAACAGAGACTGAGACTGTGACACAGGAATTATACACTGTCAGTGTACTGCATCCTACAACAGACTGAGACTGTGACACAGGAATTATACACTGTCACTGTGTACTCTGCATCCTACAACAGAGACTGAGACTGTGACACAGGAATTATACACTGTGACTGTGTACTCTGCATCCTACAACAGAGACTGAGACTGTGACACAGGAATTATACACTGTCACTGTGTACTCTGCATCCTACAACAGAGACTGAGTCTGTGACACAGGAATTATACACTGTCACTGTGTACTCTGCATCCTACAACAGAGACTGAGACTGTGACACAGGAATGATACACTGTGACTGTGAGAAGGCTGTGATGATATACTTACAGCTGTTGCGAGGTACTGAGAGTCGTGTGAGAATGCTATGTGGGTGACGGCATCTCTGGCATAGCGGAAAGGCTCCTCCATCTCCTCCTGGAGAGTGATGGCATCCAACACACGCACACATCCATTGGTGAAACCCACAGCTGAAACACCATGACAAGATGCTAGCAGGAGATGTTTTCATGAGAATGTTCACTGTGATAAAAGTGAGTATATTTTAATAAATAGCTGTCACAAGCAACAACATTATCAGTGATGGAGAGTCATGAGACAGTTCGATACTGAGTACTCCCAAGTATTTATCACTGTAATGAATGGAATCAATATTCAAGTTCATGGAAGCATGTTCACAGAAGCATGCAGAACCAATGTTCCTGCCTAACAGCCTGAACTCTGTACTATGGTATCATTTTCAGTAGATTTTAATATTACAAGGAATATTTCTGGCTGGGCTTGCCGGTCCAAACACTACAAGATCGGGGCTTTGTACATGTGGCTAAACCTGCAGACTGAAAATATATTACTTGTGAGAAACTACAGTGAAACCTGCCACCTGTCTAATTCGGCACTCTGTCAACACCTGCATAAAATTTTGTTCCCGCCATTTTACAATGATATTATGATCATTAAAATATTGTCTTATCTGGCACCTGTCTATTCCGTATTCCGGCACGTCTTTCAGGTCCCAACAAGCAATTTCAACTGTAATTAACACTGTCTAAGCCGGCCAAGGACTAAGGAGCAGTCCAAGGACTGTCAAGGACCCATAATCCAATACACTAATTACACTGTAATCCTCTTGGCATGCTAGATAATCAGGAAGTAGTGATTGCGTGGTGAATCAAAGTTTCTAAGCTACGCATGGGTATGAGCAGTCCAATCATTAGGATTACTGCGGGTATGCTTTATACTGACTGAGTTTGGTTTTACGCTGCTTTTTAGCAATATTCCAGCAGCATCAGGTCGGGGACACCAGAAATGGGCTTACACAATGTACCCATTTACGCTTTATAAACACTGGGGATTGCATTAACTGTTTTCAAGTGAGTGAAATGTGTCGGGGAGTATACAACTAGGCATTGGTTTTATTGACTCGTCAGTCACTTTGTGTGTCATGATGGGTTTCGGACATTTTGACAAAAGTGTGATGCTTTGAACAATGTTTAGTGCTGAATAAAGAATAATTATCTGTCATCAACATTGTTTTAATTTGTTGCAGAATAACAAAAGGTCAAAGGCATTAAAGAGATAATGAGATTGACAAGTGTAAATGGCAGCCATGTTGGAAAATGATCGTAACTGACTAATCCGGCACCCTTTCTAAACCAGCATTTTATTTCGGTCGTGGGGTACCGGTTTAGACAGGTTTCACTGTACATGTTTAATACTGCTGTAAGTTCTAGATTATGATAAAAATGTTTGATAAACTAGTTGATTCTAAGAGATTCCAGATAAAAATGTTTGATTGAGGAACACAGTTGTACCATGAGGTTCCCACGGTCAAACATCCACAGGTCTCATCTTTGTCACCATCAACGCCCCTGCAACATCCAGTACAGACGGAGAAACAAGTCACAAGCAGATACCATGTATCCTGGTTGGATCATCTATCTTTGTCCATCAGTACAGCAGATACGTGTAGAAACACCATCATCACAGCAGATACCATGTATCCTGGTTGGATCATCTATCTTTGTACCATCAGAAACAACATTACAGCAGATACCATGTATCCATCTATCTTTTGTCACCATCAGAAACAACATTACAGCAGATACCATGGTACCCTGGTTGTACCATCATCTATCTTTGTACCATCAGAAACAACATTACAGCAGATACCATGTACCCTGGTTGGATCATCTATCTTTGTACCCATCATCTTTGTACCATCCATCAGAAACAACAACATTGATACCATGTACCCTGGTTGGATCATCTATCTTTGTACCATCAGAAACAACATTACAGCAGATACCATGTACCCTGGTTGGATCATCTATCTTTGTACCATCAGAAACAACATTACAGCAGATACCATGTACCCTGGTTGGATCATCTATCTTTGTACCATCAGAAACAACATTACAGCAGATACCATGTACCCTGGTTGGATCATCTATCTTTGTACCATCCATCAGAAACAACATTACAGCAGATACCATGTACCCTGGTTGGATCATCTATCTTTGTACCATCAGAAACAACATTACAGCAGATACCATGTACCCTGGTTGGATCATCTATCTTTGTACCATCAGAAACAACATTACAGCAGATACCATGTACCCTGGTTGGATCATCTATCTTTGTACCATCAGAAACAACATTACAGCAGATACCATGTACCCTGGTTGGATCATCTATCTTTGTACCATCAGAAACAACATTACAGCAGATACCATGTACCCTGGTTGGATCATCTATCTTTGTACCATCAGAAACAACATTACAGCAGATACCATGTACCCTGGTTGGATCATCTATCTTTGTACCATCAGAAACAACATTACAGCAGATACCATGTACCCTGGTTGGATCCTCTATCTTTGTACCATCAGAAACAACATTACAGCAGATACCATGTACCCTGGTTGGATCATCTATCTTTGTACCATCAGAAACAACATTACAGCAGATACCATGTATCCTGGTTGGATCATCTATCTTTGTACCATCCATCAGAAACAACATTATGTCACCAAAACTTTAATATCATCACAAACTTTTGCAACATTGGTACCCCTAATTCTGTGATGGAGAAGCAAATGTTACCATTTACTGCAGTGTTCAGCATCACTACATCAACACCACAATACTTACTTTTGCTCATAGTTCCAGATCTTCAGAAGTCCAGAGTAACTGCCGATTGCTAGGTAAGGACTAAATTAGAAACAAGAATGGAAACAAAAGTTGTAATAAAGCTCTGTACATAATATAATGAATGATCATTACAACATTTATGATTTCAAATAAACCCCAGCATCCCCTTCATCTCCTGGGCTTGTAGTCGACCAGGTTCAAGCCCCTTATTTATTCCTGTGGATCTTGAAACTTCAAATTTCCCTCCCTTCTTTTCTATTAATGCTTAACTAACCAATCAAACGTCAGGACAAGTGAGAAGGGTCTTGCTGCCATGTCGCTGATATCACTAACCAAACATTGAAGCTTGCCTGGCAGGTAATTTGAGATTCTGAGAACCATGGGAATGGAACTTATACCAAGTTTACTTGAATGGAAGCCCTGGAGGTCTACAGGATCATAGCATAGTAGAAATTTACATTCATTATATATGTTACACCCACTGATACGCAATATCATATATACTTTTGGGGAGCAGGACAATTCCCATCCGGACAAATGCCACCCGGACAATTCCTACCTAGGACAATTCCCACCCAGTTATTTTCACTATAATGATGAGGACAATTCCCGACTGGCCAGGCTTTGAAATATTGAAAAAGTGACTTTGGTGTAAATTGAAAATGATAAAATATTGAAATTTCAACTTTGGTGTAATATTGAAAATGATAAAATATTGAAATAGTGACTTTGGTGTAATATTGAAAATGATAAAATATTGAAATTTCGACTTTGGTGTAATATTGAAAATGATAAAATATTGAAATTTCGACTTTGATGTAATATTGAAAATGATAAAATATTGAAATTTCGACTTTGGTGTAATATTGAAAGTGATAAAATATTGAAATTTCGACTTTGATGTAATATTGAAAATGATAAAATATTGAAATAGTGACTTTGGTGTAATATTGAAAATGATAAAATATTGAAATTTCGACTTTGGTGTAATATTGAAAATGATAAAATATTGAAATTTGGACTTTGGTGTAATATTGAAAATGATAAAATATTGAAATTTGGACTTTGGTGTAATATTGAAAATGATAAAATATTGAAATTTGGACTTTGGTGTAATATTGAAAATGATAAAATATTGAAATTTCGACTTTGGTGTAATATTGAAAATGATAAAATATTGAAATTTCGACTTTGATGTAATATTGAAAATGATAAAATATTGAAATTTCGACTTTGATGTAATATTGAAAATGATAAAATATTGAAATTTCGACTTTGGTGTAATATTGAAAATGATAAAATATTGAAATTTTGACTTTGGTGTAATATTGAAAATGATAAAATATTGAAATTTCGACTTTGGTGTAATATTGAAAATGATAAAATATTGAAATTTTGACTTTGATGTGAACTCCAAACTCTATCAATTTTGACTTTGGTGTAATATTGAAAATGATAAAATATTGAAATTTTGACTTTGATGTGAACTCCAAACTCTATCAAGAATGATTCCCGCCTTAGCGTTCATACCAGAAGATGAGGTTGTTGGAGCATTTGAGGCGCTGACAGAACACCTGCCTGAAGAACTACAACCCGTTATAGACTACTTTCAGGACACCTACATAGGCCGTCCACAGCTCAGACGAGAACAGGCCCTCAACGACCAGGTCATAACCCAGATGCTATCTGGGTTGAACATTGCCGATCAAGGAAACAGTATTGTGCTTGCCATCAGCGCCTGCAGTCAATCGCCACGGACTACCCTAACAGACTGTGTATAGACTTACTACGAAGTGTTGCCCACAACATTAGAATGTAGCGAACTTGAATTGAAAGTAGTTCACGCTATAGTGCTTGTCTATGTCAGTAAACATGTAAACATGTCAATATCAGTTCATGCTATAGTGCTTGTCAATATCAGTAAAATTTGAAAAGTTGCTGTAAACTTATGTATGTCACAAAATAGTGCTTCCTTATTTTAAAAAAATGCTATTATTTGTTGTGTATTAAATAAGATCAATAAAACCTGATTAGTGCAACCATACTACAGCATGTCATGAAGAAAGTAATAGAATATTGTTATATGGTATTTATGTCAAAATGAATAAATGTTGAAACTGAACTATGTTCTTCATGTTATTTTTATTTTGGGGTGGGAATTGTCCGAGTGGGAATTGTCCGGGTGGGAATTGTCCTAGGTGAGAATTGTCCTAGGTGGGAATTGTCCTGGGTGGGAATTGTCCTGGGTGGGAATTGTCCTGGGTGGGAATTGTCCTAGGTGGGAATTGTCCTAGGTGGGAATTGTCTGGGTGGCAATTGTCCGGGTGGGAATTGTCCTAGACCCATACTTTTGTCAGGTAAAAGTTCTAAAGATACATATAGTGACAGACCATTGCCAAATCATAATTTGATAATTTTTATGATCTATCACATGACACAGTACTGATGTCTTAAACATTATTCAAACAAAACTTTCAACTAAATCAGTTAATAAGTTTCCACAAGGCTGTTAATAAATTTCAATGTGCATGTATTTTTACTGTAGATCTATTGTGAAGGGAGGTTACTCAAATAGTCCCCAAGGGCAGACAACTCACTTTGTGGGATGGGAGGCCAGTGCATGGATGGAAGCGTCATGTTCCCGATGGATCACCTGATGGAAGGAGAAGTCACATGACAACATAATGGATACAAAACTTGCTACGGATGCTGGGGGTGCTGACCTCTCTACTAAACTAATATTGAGACTAAACTTTACCACTTAACCTATGGAACACTCTGATCATGACAAGAAAATATCACTCATATCATGTAGAAACCTCTTAAAAGACATTTTTCAGAGCATTGTTCAAAAGAAAAACATAGCTGTGATAACAGGTTTGAAGCGGTCATTATTAGTAGTGAACTTGAACACTTAGTACAAAACCTCTATGCCATATTTGACTGACAAAATATACTAGACAGTCATTGAAACAATAGCAATAACTGTTTATAGAAAGTGACTATTGCTACAGCAAAACAAACAACAAACCCCAAAAACATATACAGAATCATATCCTCACATGAAAACACACAGTGCACTAATGTATCGTTACACAGTGTATAATCCGACACTCACTGGGACCGGGAAAAAATGTCATATTATACAGAGTGTCGGATAATTCAATGTCTCCCTGCTTGAATACTTTTCAAACAGTACCATACATTGTAACTGGCTGATATCATGAAATTAATGCTTAATAGCTATTTTCTTGGTAAATAATGGGGAAAAAAAAAATTCTGTATACAGCATTGGATTTATTATCACATTGGCCACTCAGCTTGTAAAAACCAAGGTACAGGCGTTCTCACACTGCTAATTACCTCCCTGGGTTAGCAAGTGCTGGGACCAAAGAGATTACCAGTAACAGGATGTTAGTTGTCAACTGGCCACTGACAGGTTGACTGGCTATTTTAGTCCAATATGGGGAGAGGATGTCGGATTGTACAGATTAATAGTGTCGTTGGGACCAGAAAATGGTGTTGGAATTCGGAATGTACAGATGTCGGATAATTCAATGTTTAAATGATGATAATACAGAAGCAGCAGATACAGTACAACCAGAAATTATTTAGAATTTAAAATTGTAAGTTTTTTTATTTTTTCACTCATTACTCACGTATTAAATGTGAATATTAGCAGAACATAACTCCAGATTCAAAGACAGGTGAACAGTTAGTATTTTGTCAAGTCACCATGGGCCGCAATGCAGGCTTCAATGCGGCGGGGCATACTACTGATCAAAGAAGTTAGAAAGTCGTGGTCCATGCTGTCCCTATATCGGACCACCTCTTCTTTTAGTTCAGCAATATTTGTCAAATTTTTCTTATTGACACTTTCCTTCATAAGTCCCCAAACATTTTCTATTGGATATAGGTCAGGGCTATAGCTTGGCCAATCTAATAATGTCATATTTTGGGTCCGAAATCAGGCCTGTGAATGCTTTGAATGATGTTTTGGGTCGTTGTCCTGCTGGAAAATCCAAAAATTTCCATAGAACACGTGAGCAGATGGAAGTAAATGTCCCTTGAGGATATCTGTGTACCGCTCACTGTTCATATTCCCTTCAAATACACAGAGGGGCGTTGCCCCTAACAAAGATATGCCACCCACACGTTAAATTTCGGACTGTACTTTGGGTGCTGATACAAAGGTTTTTCAGTTTGGTCCAGAATTTCAGTGTATTAGGAAACAGCCACACAGAACTTTCATCTGAGAAAATCACATTGTCCCAGTTAAAATTTCTATGCTGTAAGCACCAGTTCAACCTTCGCTCCTTTTGTTCAGGTTTCATGATCCTTGTTATAATACTCTAAAATCAACTTCCTCTTCACTAAATCATCCATACTGAGGATCACTGAAAATGTTGTCTGCTAGCAAGTAAACAAAGGGGGATAACTCTTCACAAACTAATGAAAAAGGATTAACAGAGTTGTCTCTCTTGAATGAAACCAAGCACTTGATAGCTGGTCAAGGTTGTTTATACTAGAAATCCAATTAAACATATTCCTAAAATTCTCAATAATTTCTGGTCATACTATACAAAGTGGTGACTGGCTAATCAGGGAGCTTGATTCTTCCAGTAAACCAGTTTCAAGAAACTACATTCCTGACAACAGGTTATGAAAGTGGATCACTGGACAATGTCTTGATACTTTGGTGCTAATATGACACTATGTGTGCAATGCACATGAAATTGCTAGACCCACATCCTTCAAAACACATGGCCCAAACAGCACATCTTCACATGTGAGGCATGTCTCGATGAAAAGTTTCTCACAAACAGTGAACAATGTAGTAAACATCTGTATACTGTCGTGTCTGCTTGTTATTTTGTTGGTACTAGTCTGAACATTCTAAGCATCAGTAGACTTCAGTTTTATTACATAGACTGCTATTATCTTAGTGGACTGAACAGTGAGTGAGTGAGTGAGTTTAGTTTTACGCCACACTCAGCAATATTCATTCCAGCTATATGGCGGTGGTCTGTAAATAATCGAGTCTGGACTAGATAATCCAGTGATCAACAGCATGAGCATCGATCTGCGCAATTGGGAACCGATGACATGTGTCAACCAAGTCAGCGAGCAGGACCACCCGATCCCATTAGTCGCCTCTTACGACAAGCATAGTCGCCTGTTACAGCAAGCATGGGTTGCTGAAGACCTATTCTACCCTGGATCTTCACGGGTCTGGACTGAACAGACTGCGACTGTTCAATATCTGACCATGTTGGAATCATTTTCAAAACACAGCAAAACATTTTTTCATTAAAAGCGTGTTTTCACTGACATGTGTGGGCCTGGGGAAATGGTACATATTTAAGCTGTAACAATTAAATATATTTCCTAAACAGCCTGATGTGGGATGAACTCAGAATGATACAAGTCTGTGTACACACAGCTCTGGTGAAACTCATGAGCATGGATAAGGTGCAGAAATGTAGGGTTAATCTGGGATTCGAACCCAAGAACACAGGTTCCTGGCACACCAAAGGGAGGCAACTCTACAGAGATATTTGCCAAGCTGGAGATGACAGGACCACAGTTATGGCTCATTCCAACAACAAGCAAAGAGTTCTGTTAAAACGGTAGTATTGTATAATTTGTACAAACCTCAACCTTGGTGCCATCTGCTGTGATGTTGCCAAATATTGCGATGTTGCTGCCGACAACAAAATCTCGGATAACAAACTTCCTGGCAGCAATGGTGGCATCTGGTGGGTACTTGGAGTTCTCTGCCGCTCTGTCACAAACAACACACACCAATCAAACATTAGGCAAAGTGCATGCAGAAAAAAATAACATGAGGAAAACAACATGTACTGTCAAACACTGAGGAAACAACAATCACAGTCCAACACTGGGGAAACAACATCCACAGTCAAACAATGGGGGAACAACATCCACAGTCAAACAATGGGGAAACAACATCCACAGTCAAACAATGGGGAAACAACATCCACAGTCAAACAATGGGGAAACAACATGTACAGTCAAACAATGCGGAAACAACATCCACAGTCAAACAATGGGGAAACAACATGTACAGTCAAACACTGAGGAAACAACATGTACAGTCAAACAATGGGGAAACAACATCCACAGTCAAACAATAAGGGAACAACATGTACAGTCAAACAATGGGGAAACAACATGTACAGTCAAACAATGAGGAAACAACATCCACAGTCAAACAATGGGGAAAGAACATGTACAGTCAAACACTGGGGAAAAGACATGTACAGTCAAACACTGGGGAAACAACATGTACAGTCAAACAATGGGGAAACAACATGTACAGTCAAACAATGGGGAAACAACATCCACAGTCAAACAATAAGGGAACAACATGCACAGTCAAACAATGGGGAAACAACATGTACAGTCAAACAATGAGGAAACAACATCCACAGTCAAACAATGGGGAAAGAACATGTACAGTCAAACAATGGGGAAACAACATGTACAGTCAAACAATGGGGAAACAACATGTACAGTCAAACAATGGGGAAACAACATGTACAGTCAAACAATGGGGAAACAACATGTACAGTCAAACAATGGGGAAACAACATGTACAGTCACTCTGGGCCTGACAAACTAGTGGTTGAGAGCACGAGCATGTTGTCTGGGTGAGATACACAATCAGGACCATAAGTTTTGTTAAGTCAGATCTTAATCTGCACAAGATGAAGAAAATGGTAATTATATTCAACATCCTCATTACATCGTTCAAATCCTCAAAAGTAAACATGACCTTGTACAAGTGAGTAATAAATGTACAACTATCAAATAGTAAAACATTCTGCTACCTCACATTTCCGAATGTTTTCTCAAACTGACAATGAAATGTATTGCTACACCTTAAGAATGTTTTTGTCCCAATCTACTCACACTGGTGTGAACTCTGGGACAAAGGAGAATGACAGAGCATTGACAGGTCCAAGGCCGAAATCCTGGTACCTGAAAAACACAAACTCCACATGAAATGTTTGTTCAAACATCAACATATAACGATGTCTTCCAAGTCTACCTTCCCGCAGCTGGTCTGTATACCCAGGGAGGTACCTGCACCTGGGAATTATACCAACAATTTCTCAGTGGAGTTGGTGGTGGAGAGAACCCTTTGATGAGCCTCCTTCTACAGGGTGGCATCCCAGGACTAACTTCACTCGACTTTCCATAGTTTAAGTGCTTATCGTGACATAGCATCAGTTAGAGATGGAGATCTTCATGTTTGATAAGATACTTTAGCATGTTTATGTCTTGATGAAGAACATCCATTGGCGGATCCAGACAGGGGGTCCTGGGGGTTCGACACCCCCCTCTTTTGAAAATGACTTAAGACCACATTGAAGATCTTTTTGCGTTCACGGAGCCAATGGGGGGTTCAAACTTTCACAATTCCTGGATCCTGGATCCGCCCATGACATGGACAATATGAACTTTGATTGTATCTCTTATCAGAGTAGAAATGTCAGCTGGATGGAGCTTATCAGCTACAACTGAACTTTCCATGTTTCAAACAGCCACAATATATATGCATGCCATGGAATACTCGTCTGTTCATTTTTTTCCATCCTTCTCAATTTTATTGTGTCAAGAACAAGCCTGTTTGCCTCAAACAAATGTTTGAAAATTTTATTCGATAACCTATGAAATAGATTTGATCTTTTTTCTAAGCCATAATAGACACTTTTTGTCCCTGCAAATAATCTGAAGCATATTTCTGGTTTGGGGATAGGGCTGCTGTATCTCAAACAGAGGGTACTTTACCAGTAGATAAGCTTAAGGCTCTGGTCAAAGAACTTGACATGACCAGCGATGTCCCCAACGACGATGTACTTGTCTGTGATGGTGAGGACGTTGATGCCACGGTCTTGTAGCTTGATGATTTTCAAGGCCTTCTTGTTGGCGGTCTGCTCTGATGTCACCACTGCAAGGCAACACACAGTAAGTGTTGTGTAATACATAATCTCGATGGATGAAAATTGGTACTCTGGTGTGATTAATCTCTGCCTGAAATTTTGCCTTCAATTGGAGGTTGTCAGGTGATCTTTAGCGATTCACTTTTTTTATGATCATTATGTTGAGCTTTATTAATTCTAGGTACCAATGAGCTATGGATTTAGACAAGCATATCTGGTTTATGTATTTATCAAAACTGACTTAAATGGACAGTTCTAGATGTAAATAACAAAGGCCACGTAATTGTGGATCAATTAGACACCTTGTGGTTTCTCAGTGCTATGGCATTTAGACCCAAAATTGGCTTCATGTATAATATTAGGAATACACCTTTTCTATATGAACAAATGCAATTTAAAAAGAAATTTTGAGTCTACAATTTCTTCTACCACAGAGAATTTAAAGAAGTAAAAAATACCTTGTTGATTGGGCAACCTTAAATTTGATAGTCATCCTAATATGTAATGGAGAAATCACCCAAATCTGTTAATTCAGGACTATTAGGGCTCGTTCATTATTCTTCAGGAAGCAGCTGATTTGAGCAATTAATTTGACTTAAAGCATGTTCTCTATAATTTGACATCACAACCTAGGGTAACATATGTTATATTTGGGATTACACTTTCTTAGTAAAGTACAGATTCTAGTACTTTTTGGGTTGAGTCCCACAACCTAGGGTGCCTATGACTGGAACCAGGATAGGTAGAATCACTGGATAAATTCAGCACCCACACAGAGCAGTGATAAGTAGCCAGGAGGGTGTAGGAATGTAGTGTGTGCGAGATCATTAAGTATTTTCCCCATTTCCCCTGTACCTTGTCAACACAGCCTGGTCAGTCAACTCACCTTTGGTGAGGACCTGATTGTTGTCCCAGACCACCAGGTTACCGAGGGAGGTTCCTGTAAGAGCCCGGGTACTGCTAGCCTGGAAAATTGACTGGCTGTAGCGCCCCACAGGTTTGTTGAAGTCCTGGTCTGTGAGGGGTGGGGCGAAGTACTCCATCCTGCGCTCCTCCTAGCAAGGATAGACTGAATGTCTCACAGTGTTCAAACTTAAGAGCAGATTTAAAGGACATACACATTTAATCCTTTGTGGCAAGGTTTACCATACTGAGTCAGTGATAACTGTACTTCTCCGAATATAAAGTGGAAAAATACATGGAATATGAACAAAGGATTATGTTTACTGGAGAACAGTTTTTCACAAACCTGGGCATTTCAAAATAGAACAGGGTGTGATAAGTCAGGATGAAGGGGGACAGGGAAAAACTTTAAATCTTACAGTTGATGGTCAAGCTTATCTAGGTCCCTGTTTAAATGGTTTTCTATGACCTCCCTCCCAAAAAGTCCTTAGATGATATTCACATCTATAATACTGTTATTCGAAAACAACACAACTTGGACCTTTTTTTCAAGACTGTGATAAATTTGGCAACACTCCGACTCCTTTAGTGCCTCCTGTCACCCAACTCCCTGGCCCATGTCCACATCGGTATGTTGATATGAGGATGCTGTTACTATGGTTACTCACCCACTGGAAGAAGATGACCTGTGACTCGCTGTTGGTGACGAGGAAGTGGATGTCCTCTGGGTTGAAGAAGATGTAGTTCTGAACACCATACTTGACGTCGAGCTCTGCAGTGCACACTGGCGTCTCACCGTCAATAGTCCAGTCCCAGATAGATAGAATCTGGGGGTGTTGATATGAAATACACGGTTGAAGTATATGTAGTACGGTACTTTACATAAAACAAACCCTCTACTTGGTTTACCTTACTTCATCCATTTCCTACTCATCTGATTTATGTGTATCGGTTGTTTATTGCTGCACTTGCCAGCCACATGGCTAGTGTATTAGTTAGTCGGCACTAGACAAACCAGTGGTTGACAGCATGAGCATGTTGTTTGGGGGAGATACACAACCAGCCCAGGCAAAGACAGGACCACATGGCTAGTGTATACACAAGACAGGACCAGCTGGTGTATTAGCGAGTCGGCACCAGACAAACCAGTGGTTGACAGCATGAGCATGTTGTTTGGGGGAGTTACACAACCAGCCCAGGCAAAGACAGGACCACATGGCTAGTGTATTAGTGAGTCGGCACCAGACAAACCAGTGGTTGACAGCATGAGCATGTTGTTTTGGGGAGATACACTAGACAAAAGACAGGACCACATGGCTGGTGTATAGTTAGTCGGCACCAGACAAACCAGTGGTTGACAGCATGAGCACGTTGTTTTGGGGAGATACACAACCAGCCCAGGCAAAGACAGGACCACATGGCTGGTGTATAGTGAGTCGGCACTAGACAAACCAGTGGTTGACAGCATGAGCACGTTGTTTTGGGGAGATACACAACCAGCCCAGGCAAAGAGAGGACCACATGGCTGGTGTATAGTGAGTCGGCACCAGACAAACCAGTGTTTGACAGCATGAGCATGTTGTTTGGGGAGATACACAACCAGCCCAGGCAAAGACAGGACCACAATTCTTTTGTGATATTGATTGGTTGATATTTTCAGCAACATCACATGAGCCTGTTGACTTTATCCACTTTATACCCAGAAATAGGGACCTATTCTAACTCAGATTCCCACAGAGTATATGACAAGAAAACAAAGCCATCAATATTCCCCCAATGGTAAAAATACTTTTCATGAATATGTCAACTAGTTATGACTATGTCAAATGTTACCTTGTTCTTCACATTGATCTAATGAAAACATACATACTATGTAAACTATTCATACACTAGCATGTTTGTATCAACAATAGACTGCCTCAGTGCTTCCACTGTTTGATGTACCTCAGTAATGCTGATACAGAAATAGAGTGGTACTGTTGATTTATGTCATTAGGTTCTTGAATACCAACAAGTGGAATTACTGGAGCACTATCACCAATTTCAGTCAAAGTAAAACTTGTTGCCATGGAAACGCAAAACATATTTTATTCAGAAATCCAAACCTAGCAAAAGGCACCAGTTCACCATCATACCTTATCTATGTGCAAAGTTTGGTGAAGAAATATTTAACATTTTTTATGGTCTGCTCCGGAAGAGACGAATATGCATGGATGGACAGACACACGGATGGACGGAGTCTAAAATAATACTCCCCGCAAAACGTGTTGCGGGGAATAATGAATAATACCTGTGTTTCTGATGCACTTAGGGTTGCCAGGTAACGAGCATCTGGGGTCAGCGCCACGGCAACCACCCCTCCCTCGGGGTTAGGATCAAACATGGTCTGGATGGGAATGCTGAAGACAGAGAAGAATAAAACTGGACCCACATTCACAGCACAAAGACTCTGAGGAATAGTAGAAAGTGGTGAGGTCCCCTTACTGCCAGGCAGGGTAACATGAAGTACCATCGTTTAGTGTCTTTTTGTGTGACATGGTCAGGGGATTAAACCACTGGTGGGTACATTTGAGGCTGAATTACCCAGCACATAAATGAAAAGTAAGCAGTATTCCTTTATAACCATGGCAATGACACACATTGTCCCAAAAAATGCTTGGCATGAATAATTATACTTCAGACTGTTTCTGTCAAGAAAATACCCCACTGTTTTAAGATTTATTAAAAAAGAAAATGATTATGAAAACAAATGTTTTCCCATTGTTGCCAAAATCATATCTGGTCTCAAAATAAGGAAATGCTCCAAAATCTAGTCTTAATATTCACATAAAAAGGTTCATTGGTCCACCTGGCTTCATTCTGTCCTGCACTACAGTGGACGTGTGTCTGACGCACAACTTACCCGGTGTAGGTGTCCCAGACAATCACCATGGAGTCCGAGCCCTTGTCGCCCGTCACCAGCCATCGCTTGTCCTCACTCACACATGTGCATGTGATGGGGTTTGCCTGCAGAAAGGGAGACAAAGAGTCAGTTAGGATGTGAGTAAGTGAGGCCATTGGGGAGTCTGTGGGTCATTTGCTGATTCAGTGACTCATCTGGGAGTCAATCAGTGAGTCACTGACTCATCTGGCAATCAGTGAGTCTGTGAGTCAATCGGTGAGCCAGTGACTCATCTGGGAATCAGTGAGTCTGTGAGTCAATCGGTGAGTTAGTGACTCAAGTGAGAATCAGTGAGTCTGTGAGTCAATCGGTGAGTCAGTGACTCAAGTGAGAATCAGTGAGTCTGCAAGTGAGAATCAGTGTGAGTCAATCGGTGAGTCAGTGAGTGACTCAAGTGAGTCAATCAGTGAGTGAGTCTGCGAGTCAATCGGTGAGTCAGTGACTCAAGTGAGAATCAGTGAGTCTGTTGAGTCTGAGTCAATCGGTGAGTCAGTCAGTGACTCAAGTGAGAATCAGTGAGTCCGTGAGTCAATCGGTGAGTCAGTGACTCAAGTGAGAATCAGTGAGTCTGTGAGTCAATCGGTGAGTCAGTGACTCAAGTGAGAATCAGTGAGTCTGTCGAGTCAATCGGTGAGTCAGTGACTCAAGTGAGAATCAGTGAGAGTCAATCGGTGAGTCAGTGACTCAAGTGAGAATCAGTCAGTGTGAGTCAATCGGTGAGTCAGTGACTCAAGTGAGAATCAGTGAGTCCGTGAGTCAATCGGTGAGTCAGTGACTCAAGTGAGAATCAGTGAGTCCGTGAGTCAATTGCTCAATTGGGTGTTTGTCAGATCTTCATACAGAATGGTAGCAAACTACAAGATCTGACTGCGATGTCTGTGACTTACATGCCCCTGTAGTATGTGCTGTTTGTTGTTGTGGAAGTCGTAGAGGACGCCGACATGGGCACAGGGGTACATGATCACCTTCCTCACTCCATCGGTCAGGTTGAGCACCGGGATGCTGCGATTCAGGCCGAATGACCACACCATGTTCTGTAACACGTTGACCAGTAAGGGAATAAAACTGGACATAATTCATAATGACTTCAATTCTTATAATACTATGTTAAAATATTAAAACAAAGCAGATATATATTTCTTGATTAGTAATTTACCTTGTCAATCCTGACAATTTATTTTTCATCCAGCTTCTTGGCATATATATAAGGAAGATATAAACAAGATGAGATCACTGAATGAAAGTCAACACAACCCCTAATGTTTGGGCAACTATCTACCTACCAGAGCTGAGCTAGACATTGTGCCTTCAAGTGATGTGTCTGTCCTTTCTCTTGATGGAACTCGGGGTGCCTCAGGGATAACCTCAACATCAGCCTGAGTGGGGGGAGGCTGGGACGGATACCCCTCATTACCTTCCTCAGGGGTTGGGGGTGTCCTGCTTGTCTCCTTTGCACTAGGGGCAGGAGACTGTCGTGGACTGCCTCCCTCAGCCTGGGGTTGAGGGGAGAGTCGTTTGCTGCCTCTAGTACTGCTTGATCGAGGTCTCTCCTCCTGGGCAGGAGTTTCAGTTGTATGCTGAGCATCTGCTTCTTGAGCAGCCTCTGGATCTTCTACTTTACCATCTGTAAAGTCCTCCGCTCGAGCATTCCCTTCAGCTTCAGCTTCACCTGGAAATTCAAAAGACAGTAGTGTCACAGGTTCAATTGAAGGGTAGATCTAGCTTCCATCCTACTGTCTAACACTGCCCCTTGGGCTCACCATAGCTGTCCTGAGCTGGTTAACTGGCTAACAAGAGGCTGCGCTACTTTCTGTATGCACAGTGAAATAAACTTGGAGGCAGTATCTATACACATTTCTGAAAATTGGTTACTAATGATCTATGATGATGTTGATATTACAAAGAACAATTATTGTCAGCATTAACAAACAGATAAAGAGATTGAGGAATCTCATCAGATGCCATTATTTGGAAACACCCCTAATGGTTATATTTTGATGGACAAAAATATATCCCAGGAAAGAAGGCATGTTCAGATTTGTGATTGTGTGGTAGGTAAGATGTGTGAGATTGATTTACATACCATTTCAGTGTTTTATACCTTGATATTAAATCATGCCAGGTGATTATGTGATTGTTTGTTTATGTACTGTGTTTACAATAATACATCATGTACTCAAAACAGCAACAACCGATATATTGTCACTCACTGGCTAAACTAAACCAGATTGTATAGAATTCATACAAAATTTACTAACTCAATTGTTATCACGTAAACAGTTAATTATTATTAGAGGTATAATTAGTTGTATTCAAATTACCTTTAAAAAGACTTTGCAAAATAGCCCAATAACAGTCATGCCTCTGCCGGAGTCTAAAATACACAGCTGGTATCAGTGGCTTTCATTTGGTATTTCTCATGTCTGGGGTAATTATTCAGCAAATGATTAGGTTATAAATTCAGACCTGATGTGGTGAATATGTTGCATGTTATGAAATATGTACATGAAGCATGTGGAATGATCAGCTGATTCGGAAAACAACAACATTGATTAAAGGAATTATCACTATAACGAGTTGATTGATTAATCACTGTTGTGAATTAGTCAAAAGTGTTTCTACATGTAAGTTCAATAGAGCACAAAGGAAGGGAGCACCTACATGTAAAAACAACATTCTTTGTACAGAGATTTAGCTTCATGTTGATTGATTGGTCGGTGTTATCTAACTTTACAGTCTCTTCTATGAAATATGGACACCATGTACATATATAGTTGTCATACACATTATGAGTGCTATCTCAGCTGACCAATGAGACTTGACACCTTAGTGACCTATGTGACATGAAACTAACGTGACCAGATGAGAAAGGAGTTAAACATTTCTGAAGCACAATATATGTTAGCAGAGATGCCAACCCCAAAGTGTTGCAAATAGTAGTTTCCAGGCTCAAAAGTAGTAGTTTTACCATAAAATTAGTACTCAACTAAATACTTAAAATCATGATGGATTCTGAGAAAGATAATATGACACTAAGGGACCGTTCATAATTTATTGCTAGGGGGGGGTGATGATGATTTTAAGGCGGGGTCACCTATTTTGTTCTGGCGAGCTAGGGGTGACAGCAATTTTGTACACACGAACTAGGGGGTGGTTCCAGCAATGTTTTTCATAATAATGTATAAAATTATGCTTAGAAATTATGGGCAGGGGAGGAGGGTCATTGATTTTGTACATGACATGCAGGGGGTGGTAACTTATTTTATACATACATTTTAGGGGGGGTCATTCACATTGTACATGCTTCTCCACAAAAATCATCATCATCCCCGCTAGCCAACAATTATGAACGGTCCCTAATCAAGAGTGAAGCTTTAATTTCACATACCTCCAAGAGCAGATTTCCAAATTATCAGCATTACATTTCTTCTTGTCGTCTCTTTTTGGCGAAAACGTATTTTAAACGACAAAAACTGTTTTTGTCTATATATCCAAATTTAAATAATTGTCTTCAAACTTCATAGAATGTCTAGTGCAATCATATTGGCATGGTTTGAGGCTAAAATTCGTAGCGACTATGATAAAATCGTAGAGGTTGGCATCTCTGTATTAAATTGTTACAATGACATGTGACATCATAAATGTTTATTTGCACAGTTGCAGATATATTGGATTTGCTATCTAATGTGGATTTGTTTCGGCACACAATATTCGTCTATAATACAGATGGAAATTTGAATTGTGTGATGCAAACCTTGTTCCTCTGCTGGCTCTGCTTTTTCCTCATCTTCTGGTTTTACATCTTCAGACGGCTGTTCTTCTGTCGCTTGCCCCTCCTCTGCTACTACTTCGCCAGTCCCCTCTGTTTCTCCCCCTTCTGCCACTGCTTTAGGTACAGTCTGTTCTTCATCATCTTTATCCGACTCTTTCACCAGTTCTTTTTGGGGGGCATTCGGTTCATCCTCTCCTCCACTTGCCTGAACAGCAAACTCGGGGGCAGTGTTGTCAGTCTCATCTTCACCAGTTTTTCCATCTTCTTTTTCTTTTGGCCCATCTGTCTCGTCACTCTGGTTTTGATTCATATCCTCTGTAACGGGTACCTGACCTGCATCTGTGTCGGCCTCTGCGTCGGGTTTCTGGGATTCTTGTGTATCCTGCACATCAGTATCATCTTTAGGTATTTCCTGAGCTTCATCTGCCATATTGAAATATACCGGACGGTGTTTTCTTACACTGAACAACGAAAACACACATTCACCGCCTCAAACGCTAACAATCATGCCTGACGCTGTTGCTATGCTACGGTGTTTTCAGCCGACACGTTTACCGGCAAGTCGCAAGGGTTATTAGATATACATGATGAATGAACACATCAAACTTACTCATAATAAGTATGCAGCTGTCAATAGGATCATTCTGTTCTACGATAAGATAACATATACTTTAAGGAGAAATAATTACCCTCTTCCCAACAAACACACAGTCTCATTTACGGCTTATCATACATACGATATACCTAACAACTAATGTTCCCCTCGGTCCATACAATAAGCTTGAAACGGTAGATGAAATAATATGAAGAGATACCAAATTGTGTTATTTATTGATGAGAGTATTATGTGTCTGTCGACATTTATCGTGCACACTCTATACATTTATACACAACTTACGTCGATAGGAGGAGGAAAGTTCAAGCAAAAGGAGATGGGCTGTTGTGACATACAAAGTAATCATAAAAGGAAATGTGAAAAAGGATGTATCATTCTGTAAGCCGACAGGCTGGACAAGGGCTAAAAAATAATTCTTTGTTGTTGTGCTTATCATATCGTATCGTATCGTTCGTATCGTATCGTATCGTATCGTATCGTATCGTATCGTATCGTATCGTATCGTATCGTATCGTATCGTATCGTATCGTATCGTATCGTATCGTATCGTATCGTATCGTATCGTATCGTATCGTATCGGATCGCAGCGCAGCGCATCGCGCATCGCATCGTATCCCACCCCCGCTCTTCTCCAGACAGGGGCGGCGGGCTAGCCTAGTGGTTAAAGCGTTCGCTCGTTACGCCGAAAACCCGGGTTCGATTCCCCACATGGGTGCAAAGTGAAGCCCATTTCTGGCGTGATATTGCTGGAATATTGCTAAAATCGTTGACAACGATATTCACTCACTCACTCTTCTCCAGACATCTCTGTTTTTTTTTGTTTTTATTGGCTTCTTTTATCCGAGTTCAACGCCCTGGGGATAATACAACTCATGCTGCCTACAAACGTCAGATATGACAGCTAATTGACAGCCCTGGATAAGACAATCAAGTGATTAATGCTATAAACAACCTTCCATGCTACCAGCCTAACAACATCGCTTGTCCGCCTGATTCAACGGTGCAGCTCAAGTGTTGCTTGAATTATACATTTTGCACAGCCTTAGAAACATAATAAGCATAAATCCACGAATAGCGTCCTGCTATAACACATTCCAAGTGAACATCAATGAAACATTGGTGCTTAATACAGTGACATTAAAACGAAAAAAGTGATCATACAAAATGCAAATCACTGACCTTTTCGTTTCATTGAAATTACAAGTGTAAACCGAAACGAAAACAATACACGAAACAATATACAAAACAAACAAAAACCAAAACAACAAAAACAGCAACAACTAAACCCAATAAAAGCAACAACACAAGAACAAAGAAAATAAAAAGGAAATAACAACATCATTAAACTTTGAATAGAGGCTGTGTGTAACTTAACTCTGAAAACATAGATACACCCGGGCGGGTGTTCAGAGATTTGCGGTAATGTAAAAAAGCCATGATATTTCGTGTAATTTTCCTAATATCTTTACACAAATAAACATTATGCATCATTTACACAAATTAAACATTTTCCCTTTTATTCCTTCTGATGTCATTATAAATATGTTAATACATCTATTTAAAAAAGTGCCACATTAAAGTTTGGCTTATTATTTAATTCAGTATCCACGTTGGTTTTCCAGCACCATGCTCGCGGTGTTCACCAAAGTAGTCAACGTCTAAGACCTGCTCAGAGATATCCTGAAAAAAACTGGAATACTGTACAAAGCGGCCAAGTCCATCCACTCCCAATATCCATCTACCTGTAATACATACAATGTTTGTCTCTCAACCACGATCCATGCCATGTACAAAGCTGAAAAGTATAAAAAAAATTCATTTAATGTTTTATATGTCTATTCCCTGTCTACATACATATACGTTATAAATTTTGACGTAGCTATTCTTGTGTTCTTTTAAACCTATTAATCAACATAAATGCGACAACCAAAATAATTCAACTGACAACCGTTCAGTTTCAAAGGATTGAAGTTAGTCGCAAAGGTAATACTTTTTTTCAGAGTGTGCATGGCGGCTTCCTTACTCAACATGTCCTCATCATCAGAAGTGTTCGATCATTTTCTGACAATGTTTCATATTTTATTGACAACGTATATTTTCATGTACATGCTCGCAATCATAGTATACATTCCAGTCTTGTGGCGAAAGAGATCACGTGTGTCTAAACCGAAAGACAATGCAACTGTTCTTTTCGTTACCGCACACCCAGACGATGAGTGTATGTTTTTTGCCCCGGCAATCCTGGGTGTAGAAGCCCCTTCGTCAGTACTTTGTTTTACAACAGGTATGGTTGCTTTATGTGCTATCACCCTACTTTGTATTAGCTAAGATACATAGCGTTCATGTCACTGAACGCTATGTATCTTAGCTAACTTTGTATTTGCTACACCATCCTACGTTGAACCATTATCTTCCCTGTTCGTGTATGTTATCACTCTGTATCAACGTCAAATGTAATAACCACAGTTAATCATGTCCAAGATATTTTTATGGATTAAACTTCTTTAATCCATAAAAATATCTTGGACATCTATGTACAACTTCTAAATGCCACTGAAACACACAGTTAATCATGTTTTTCAGGAAATTATGACCAAAAAAGGTGATGTGAGAACGAAAGAGGTCGTAAAGAGTTGCAGTGTGTTGGGTTTATCTCCTGACCAGGTGACAGTTCTAGATATCAGGTATGTACTGTGTTCATCGCCCTCCAATACCCAGTGTCAACTTAATTATCACCATCTTGTGGACTAAATATCTTCTCCAACCCCATCTCATCCACTTCATTGGTTTCCATGATAAACTGCCTGGGTTCTCTGTAACCAATTCTTGTTGTAATGTTGGTAACAGCTGTTCGGTTGGACACATTGGGTACTGGTTGTATGTCATCCTAGTTATCACTGATTTGACTGGTCCAGAATTGATTACTTGCCATCTATACAGACGACCACTACCTACTGGGTCAGACTGGAATATTACTGGCTGTGACATGAAAGTTTGAAACACCAATCACTCACTTTCTAATAGGGGTGGTGGGGTATCTTGTGGTTAAAGCGTTAGCTCATCACGCACATGTGTGAAGCCCAAGTCCTGTGTTCCCAGCCGTGATATTGCTGGAATATTGCTAAATGTGGCGTAAAACTAAACTCACTCACTCACTCACTGTGGTCATCTCTGTTGATCCGTGTGTATTACCAGTATTCATGGTATTGATTTGTTCTTTTTCCAGATCCTTGCCAGACAATCCAAAGGTGCAGTGGGATAGGCAGACAGTCTGTAATGAGATCCTCCAGCACTGCCAAAAACACCGAGTTACACAGGTAGTTATCTCTAGTAGAGAATAACACAGGTAGACATCTTCAGGAGACACAGGTCTTGTTAGTTGCCTTCAGAGTTGCCTTCAGAGTTATCTACATCGAATTTGGCAGGATTGCTTGAAGTCTTGAAGCCAAGATATTTCCTGTTCTTGAATTAAAAAAGAGCTGACCCCCTGTAAAGCTGCATAAACAAAACGTTAAACATCGTAAGAGGATAAATATTTTTGTTTCTGTCTCACAAAAAAATATAATACTTGTGAAATACGTAGTTGGGCTGTTTTGTGCAGTGTTGTGTGACCATGTTCACAAATTCAGTTTAATGTCGCTTAGAAGCATTTCATTTATAACATGTTGTACTTCAGTATAACATGGCATGCTGATAATGCTTAAAGTCTCATTATGCACATTGTGATATCAGAAACTGTTTCCATATTTGTTGAAAATGTAATGATGAACATTTTCAGATTTACACATTTGATGGGTATGGGGTGAGCGGTCATAGCAACCATCGGGAGCTGTACAATGCTGTGAGGTGAGTGAGGGTCTGAACAAAGTGTGATTCCGAGGTATTGTAGGTATCCTGCAACCTGTGCTTGTAGTAAGAGGTGACTTAATGGATTGGGTGGTCAAGATGGCTTACTTTATTCATTACTTGGATCACTGCTCCCAATATAAATCACTGAGTCTGTTATTCACACACCACTCTCAAAGCTGTGTTTGGTTTAGTTTTAACTTTGTCTTTGACTACTAGGAACTAATTTAGTGCAAAAGTAGATAAAAACCCATCAATAACAGTTTGAGGTCGAGCTGCATCTGAATGAAAATAATATTGAATTATACGCTCTTGTGATATTTTTTAATATTGTTTTATGTTAATTGAACATTTCTGAAGGTTGACACACATATAAGAATAATGGATTGTCTCGAATTGGTTTTCAAACATTTGTTTCCCCCTTGTCTTGTTATACAGTACCTGAATGAGGCAGGTATCCTCTTGCTGTGCTATGGGCTACTGTGCTCTTTGCTCTGCTTCATGCATGAAGTCAGTAGATGAGGATGATAATTGCTGTCTATCGCAGAAGTTGGACACCAACATCATAATGGAGAGAGGCGGCGATGGGGTAGCCTTGTGGTTAAAGCGTTTGCTCGTCACGCCGAAGACTGGGGTTTGATTCCCCACATGGGTACAATGTGTGAAGCCCATTTCTGGTGTCCCCCCAACGTGATATTGCAGGAATATTGCTTAAAGCGGCGTAAAACCATACTCACTTACTTGCTCATAATGGAGAGATCATAAGTGAAACTTCCTTTCTTTCCACAGACATCTAAAGATTGACAGAACAGAGCTGCATGGTATGTTTCGACCTCTCCTCTTGCCAGCATTGATTTGTACGGTGTTCTAGATAAGCTCACTGTCATTACCTCGGTTCTGTGTTGCTACTTCTGTAAATCCCAGTCGGATGGTGTATTATTCTGTGGCTGTTGTGTCATCAGGATGTGTTTCTGTTGCAGATATTGAGTGTTACAGCCTACAGAGTGTGAACCTTCTTCGTAAATATACCTCACTGTTAGACCTGCCCTACAGCCTGTACACAGCTGACGTAGTATTTGTGTCATCGCCATGTCAGGTCCTTACAGCTCAGGTAGGACAATAACTAGTTATCTTGCAAGTATTATCAACCTCCTTCGTAAATATACCTCACTGTTAGACCTGCCCTAGGATAGATGCCCAACAAATGTTTAAAATTGTTTTGGGGATTAATGGACCTGCTGCAGACCTGTCTGTTGATTCGAATATATGACATGGGGGTTGGTGAAAGAAAATTGGCTAAGGAATGAGCGAAACATGAGCATGTCTGGTGATGGCGCGAGGGTGAGTTAGCCTTCAAGTCATTTTACTGAACAAATGTAGCGTGTGAAAGTGGCTTTGTTGCAAGTTCCAGCCAATTTCCATTAGCCCACTTTTATACATTAAACCATTTCATCATGTCCTTTCCACATTTTTGTGTGAAAAATGCATAAAAGGTACACACGCATTACCTACTATATTGGATTAGGTTCCTAAACCTAAAACTAAAAATAACCCTAACCCCAAACCCTAACCCCTCAAAATAATCCTCGTGAATAGAATACATTATAGAATACAATAGCTAGTTGTCTCACAAGTATTATCAACCTCCTTCGTATCCTCACTTTCAGATCTGCCCCCACCTGTCTGAACACACCTGACTTGGTATTTATATCATCTCCATGTCAGGTCCTTGCAGCCCTGGTTGGACAATAACTAGTTTTCATACAAGTCCTATCAACCTCTGTTGTCTTTGGATAATAACTAGTTCTTACACACAGCCAAATGTTTTCCCATAGACTTCTTTTCGCTATCTTTCCATAGGGGGTACCGCTTTCTGGTAGAACAGCCAGGTGTGCGAGTTGCAAAATTGAAATTTTGCTACCTGGCTGTTCTACCAGCAAGTGGTCCCCCATCGTACAAAATAGCAGTAAGTGACAACAATATAATGATCGTTTGTTAAAGAACTTTTTTATTCAGTGTCCCAAATTATGAGACAAATCATCAGAGTTGGTCTGTTGATTTCAAGTGACTGTGCAAAATTTGGTTTTTGTTGCAATTATTAGAGTTTGTGTTAGTGAGCAATTCCTCCTTCTCAAATGAAATCAAATTAAACGAACTATACTTGAAAATATCTGTACACACATTTAGCATAAGTCATGATGATAAAAATACATAAAATTGTGGTTAGTTATATTTACTGGATGGATGCGCTTTTAAAAAAACATAAAAATCGTACACTATTTCACCCAATCACAGCTGTCACATGTCTCTATCCGGCCAGAAGTTTACACACAACACTGGCTCAGCGAGCAAGTCCTTCTGTTTCAGTGTAGTAGAACCAATAGGATCTATAAAGCTGGTTCCCGACTCCCTTTTGCACGCGCCAACTTGCGATATGCAGAAGTTGTGCTCTTAAAAAACCCCTTAAATGTGCCATAATGTTTATTTTTCATAATTTTGCAATCCATTCTATTGATCATAACATTCTGTAAATGAATCCCTATGATATGCTTGTTTCAGAGAGCGATGTACGCCCACTGGAGTCAGTTTGTGTGGTTCCGGATCCTCTTCATTTTCTTTTCCAGATATCTTATTATTAATACTTTTAACAAAATTGATGTTTATAGACATTGCAATAAACATTTGTGAAAGGTTTGTGTGAGTGTTATGCTGTTAGTCTGACTGATGCCTCAAGTGCCAAGTAGAAAAATACCTGACCAATACCTTTTGCCAACTCTAGACAGATACCTGACAGGTACCTTAAGTCTATAGTAGACAGCGCTACCTGTCCATTTCCTCTTCATTTTGAGATCTGTATACAAACTAATACAAATTACTGCAAAGGAATGACAATGGCGGTACAACAAATAATGGCAGTTTAATTCCAATGGCAGTGATGATTATCACTCAGTACCAACAGTGATCAAACTTCCTAGACTGGCCCGGGCTGGACATCAAGGGTAAAATAGACACTTGAGTCAGGACCGGACAGAAGCCTGGTGCTAATGTTGGTGTTTGTTGTTGCAGTACGTCACGTGACTGATTGTGCTGATGTTATAACAGATATATACAACAGATGAGTCACTGGTTAAAAGTGGCATAAACATGTTTATTGGAAATATATCTCTGTGTTCTGTGACTGTAACAATATCCAGTTCCACTCCCAGCTCCGGGAAACCTGGAAATACAACATAGACACGGATACAGATTCAGCATGATATGACGTCTATCTCATGTTAGCAGGCTTTATCACCCATTCGTCTAAGGTGTTGCACTGTGCTGTGCAAGTCTGTGTCCTTCACCTTGGACACGATTGGCTGTTAGAAGGTAAACCTTTCAAAACTTGCGCTGTTGCACTCACACCCTAAATATATCCGTTTCACTTATACATCGTGACTAAAAATTGCTACGAGAATATATAAACAAATATTTGAAAGGAAACTTGATTGACTGGTTATAAGAAGACGTTCAAACGTACAGTCGCGTGTGTTTGCAGAATTAATAACTTACTCTAAGCATCACTTGCCAACCACAGCCCCGACTGTTCATCACTTGCCAACCACAGCCCCGACTGCCTCATCACTTGCCAACCACAGCCCCTGGTGACTGCGTTCTCCACCTCGTGTTTGTCAAAAGCCCCGTTTATCACGGAGACTTCTCTCTGCCGCCCCTTTGTCCACTGCCGCCCCCTCCATTGTGTCCGACCTGGTGACCTACCTCGTGTTTGAGATCTCCACCTCGTGTTTGAGATCACTCCAGAAGCCCAAATCCGTTTATTGTGTCCGACCTGGCGGTTCTCCAGATTTCTCTTATCAGCGGAGATTTCTCTCTTGCCCAGTGCCCCGACTGCAGCGTTTGTCAAATCCGTCACTGCCGCCCCCTCCACATTGTGTCCGACCTGGTGTGCTGCGTTCTCCACCTCGTGTTTGAGATCACTCCAGAAGCCCCGTTTATGAGCTGGCAGTGGGTAGACTACCGAGGTAGTAATTGTCAACAGAGTTAGTAATAGGTGCATGTTGAACCTGAAACAACAAGTGGTTTGTATCATATTTTGCAAACGGATTGTTGATATTGTGTTCCTTTTCGTCTGTTGTGCAGTCTGAAAATATTCTTGAACGTGGAAAACACTTTGGCTTTCTCGCTGCTTGTTACCTAAACCACAAATAGACCAATCGGAAAGAATGACACGATATGTTTCGAAAACGGTTATTTTGTCCCACAAATAGGACTGACGAAATAAAATGTGAGCCATCAACACCTTGTTATAGTCAAAATTGAGATTTGACTAAGTGTAAAAGACTGTCTGAACTCCATTACATAATATACACGTGTGGCAGTCACCGTGTATTTGGGAATTATTTTGGACGTCTCCATGAAGAGTATTTCAGTTCTATGACGGCATGTACATGTCAGCTTGGTGCGGTAGGCAATCCTGAAATGACACTGGTCGTACACGTCTATCACTTAGGTTATACCAAACCAACGGGAACGGATTGGTGCCGATAGACCAACAAACACCATCAGGAGGCACACCTGTGAAAGGCAAGAACGAATTGTGGCTCTTTAGGCCATGAAACTAACCAGTGGTTGAGCCGGTATAACTGGAGGTTCTTATTTCAAAGCCCTTGTTCCCTGTAACGTTATGCCACTTACCTGAGCTTGTTGAAGATGAGATGACGAGTTCCGTAGATTCTGGTACTTATATAAGCCTGGACTGTTGACGCCACCTGTTGTGGAAGATTTGTTTCCCCAGAAACATCCGGCACAGTCTGGCCCCATTCTGCGTTGTTCCTGGTACACCATGTGTAGATGTACATCCGTCAGCGTGGTGATTCGCTGATTTATGTGTGCTGGAATGGACATAGTCTTATCTTGCCATCCGTTTAACCAGATTACACACTTTCCTTGTGATAAGGTAGGCAGGGGCTAAAACTATATTCTAACAAATTCCATAAAACTCTCTCCACAAAGAGTTCAAATAAATCATAATCTGGATCTCGTTCCACAAAGCGATACTATCGTTACGACTACATTAAGTATGGGAGTTACGATCACCTTAACGCTATGATTATTGTAAGTCTATGTTTGAGTATAGGAGGTACGATCATTTTCAGTTATATCACAGCATTGTTTTATGTTTTATTCCTATCTCTGTAAACAGGGTTGTTCAATCACACATATATACACACCAATTTTGCATGACAAATAAGTTAATGCTCAAAAGAGAATTTAACACCATTTCGACACCTTAAGAAACAATCAATTCGAGATTTCCTTAGAATGTGCGATATTTGGATGTGCGATATGCGCAGTCAGTCTTTTGAAATAAAACACCCTCCTGAGCACCTGTACATCTCACACCTAGCCCAGTGTGATCAATGGACTGTATATATGGAAAGCAAAATACACTTGAAAGTCGTGGCTGTTTAACTCCAATACACAAGACCAGCGGATGGGACACAACGACTTTTTCGGGGCAAATTGTCGCAGGCTCTTTGCGGAAATTACGTAACTGAACACGCAGATACACTAAACGTCATCGTTCCGCTCCGTGACCTCGTCTTTGCGAGCTACACTGAAATACTCAACAGAATGATGAAATTGGAAATGAGGAAGAAACAAGCTAAATCAACATGTGGATGACAACACAATAACCTGAACATCTCTCATGAACTCGTATGGCAATGCAATATCTGTTGAGACCATGATAATTTCAACAACGGAGAAAGTTACATGGATATACAACTTCTTTATTATAATGTAAGCGGCGTTGGGAGGTGTACCCCCCAGCAGGCAGCAGTGGGTTACCTGGGATAAGAGGACACACATGAATGAGCGTGCAGGGCAGGTTGTTCCGTGTGTAATATGGTCCAAGGTATTTTGGCTGCCCATAAAATTGACGCTGTGACTTCATTCATTCATTTATTTCAACATACATATTATCATCATCAATCTCGTCAACAGTATTTTGAAATACAACCATTAGGCAATATTAGCTCTACCATCAGGATACAAACATACATTATTACAAACTATCACATTATACACAATATCACAAGCATACATCATTATTCATAGTCCCACAAGTTGAGACACACCGTAAGCAAGTAGAGTCTCGACACCATCTTGCAGCAGTCTATCCTCGCGGTCTAGCGTTCTTCAAGCTGGCAATATTTATTCTTCTTAGGTCTCACACAACCACCACCCTGCAACTGCATCAATGTTATTTCTGTGTAGTTCTGTTGTGACCTTATCAGATTGATATGTCAACGAGATAAGTGATGTGTTCAGTTTAAACATAACATCAATCATTGATTTAATCACTTACTCGTATTAGTGTCAGTTCATGTGAACTGTGTTCACGAGCTGAGCGCAGTGGTGAGGTGAACTGTGTTCACCAGCTCAGGGGTTACTAAAAAGTGTATCACCTGTTGTTTGAAGAGATTAGAATGGTTCAGTGACCTGAAACCTTTAAACAATATCTGCTGGCAAACTGGGACACCCCGTTTCGGCGTAGCTGCTAAAACCGTTATCAAGCAATTGATGTCTACTGGGTAGTCCCGTAAGTTCGACCTTTGGGTCGAGGTAACAATCCTTGGATGTTTGATGTTGTGACGACGGTGTTGTTTTAAGGGAATAGGACACTAGCTTTCTTCCAAATGTAAAATGTGTTAACTCAGTTCACTCAGGAAACGAAATAAAGCTCGTGTACCAGAATGTGAGTGAATTTGCCAGTTATGGCAAATGCACAATTAGACTTCAAAGTTTTCTCTACATTTCGTGGTGGAAGATACCTTTGTGTAAATGGTTATATGTTCATAGTGAAAAAGAAGAAAAGGGGAGAATGGATC